AGAGCAACCTCTCAAGTATCAAGCCATAAATTTTGATAGTGTTGTGTAGACTGAAAAACGAAAAAAAAGACATGGCGAACTACTACCTGACAGTATGCGAGCAGTTTTCTGTGGCCCTAGAGACTGTGGGAAAAATAACTGTTTGCTAACACTAATCACACATCCTAATGGACTTACGAGGGTGGTCCAATAAGTACTTAGCCTCACCGCCCGATGGCGCCACTCTCGCAAATGAAATATTCTATCACGTAGTACAACCTTCTCGATGGTTACTGTCAAGATTTCAGCCGGATCGGAGTTGTAGTTTATTTTTGAGAGCGTGTGAAAGCAAGTGTATCCGTTGATTTTTGAAAAATGGAAAAAGAGCAGCATCGGTTGGTGATTCGATTCTTGTTTTTGGAAGGCAAATCGCGCAGCGAAATCAAAAAGCGCTTGGATGCTGTGTACGGTGACTCTTCTCCTTCGATGGCGACCGTCAAAAATTGGTTTAACGAGTTTCAACGTGGTTGCAGGTCGATTTTTGAAGAGCCATGTCCAGGTGCTCCGAAAACGGCTACCACGGAGGATAACGTGACAAAAATTCACGATCTCGTATTGGCAGATCGACGATTGAAGGTGCGCGAGATAGCTAAGATCGTAGGTATCTCAAAAGACAGCGTGGGTCATGTCCTGCATGAAATTTTGGGCATGAGAAAGCTGTCGGCGCGATGGCTGCCGCGTTTGCTCACTCCGGACAACAAGCGCAACCGTGAGATAACTTCAGAGCAATGTCTGACGCTGTTTAAGCGCAATCGGAAGGAGTTTCTGCGTCGTTTCGTGACAGTCGACGAAACGTGGATCCACTGGTATACACCAGAGACTAAGGAACAGTCGAAACAGTGGACTTTACCCGGTGAAAGTGCTCCGAAGAAGGCGAAGACTGCCCCATCGGCCGTAAAGGTGATGGCCACCGTTTTCTGGGATTCACAAGGTGTGATCTACATCGACTACCTGGAGAGGGGCAAAACGGTCAGAGGGCTGTATTATGCCGAATTATTGGGCCGATTCGACGTCGAATTGCAGAAAAAAATGCCCCATTTGGCGAAGAAAAAAGTGCTCCTCCACCATGACACCGGCTCACACCTCCGCCGTCGCCATGGCCAAATTGGTCGAATTAGGCTACGAACTGCTGCCCCATCCACCGTATTCTCCAGATTTAGACCCGTGCGACTTCTTTTTGTTTCCAAACTTGAAAAAGTCATTCGCCGGGCAGAAATTTAAGTCGAATGAGGAGGTAATCGCTGCCACGGAAGCCTACTTTTCAGACGTCGAGGAAACGTATTTTCCAGACGGGTTAAAGAAGTTGAAGCATTGCTGGGCCAAGTGTATTGAACTAAAAGAAGACTATTTTGAAAAATAAAACGCCACTTTTCCAAAATTTTCATTTTTCTTTTGTAGACTAAGTACTTATCCGACCACCCTCGTAAATTTGAAAACGTTTTTGTTTATTTAAAGTCCTTTAATCAACCACTCAATTGACTTAAATTTGATATTAGGAAATTACTATAAATATGTGCATCCGAGATTTAATACCGATGGTTATAAATCAATATGAACACATAAAAGAAACCAAATGAATATTCTTAGTATAAAAAACTTAGTATAACCGTTTTATACTAAAAATTTGAAGTCTCACCAGAAAACGTCATATACATATTTGTCATATTTTTCCGGTAGAATCGATTGCCGCAAGCAGTTTTTAAAAATATCAACTTTTTGGGTAATTTGTTTAAATAACTGTTTATAGACAATTGCAAATAGCAAAAGAAGAAACATGGATAACTGTTTTTTCATTTATACTATGAATAGTATAGTTATTTTAGCGCTATCTTATGCGGTTTTGGCATGGGCTTTAATGGGTTAATCAACCCAAGTATAAATTTTTAAAAGATTTATTGGATCCGATTGATGGTATACAGTATCATGCGTTCAGAGAGCATGAGACAGTTGTTTCATCAGATAAAGCTCTTCCAAATTCCATCACGATTTTTGATGATATAGCCACTGAAAAGTAGGACAAAGTGAGAGCATTCTTTTGTATAGGAAGACATAAAAAAGTAGATAGTTTCTATCTCTGTTAATCATATGCTCGCATACCGAAGCATCTCATTCGAGATAATGTGAATTTACTAGTTTTGTATCGACAAGATGACATGAATATTAAACATATTTACAATGATCATGTTAACTCAGATATGACTTTTGAGATGTTTAAAGCAATTTGTTCAAAATGTTGGAGAGACGATAATCATGGATTTATAGTTATTGATGGAGATAGACCAATCAATCATGGACGGTATAGAAAGGGATTTGATTCTTTTGCTATAAATATAGCGGAGTGAGCAAATAAAGATTATTTAACTTTAGAAATTACAATCGTCAATATGGCTGATTTTGAAAGACAAAAGAGGGTACTCGAGCAATGATCGGAGGCTCGTGATGCCGTTAGACGTAAGTATCAAGTAATAAAACGTGACAAAACTGATTTAGAAAATTCATTGAATGAAACTTATAAACCTATGGTTGATCCATTGAAGAAACTTGTGGAGGTAGCTATTGATAAAATTAACGCTACTACTGAACAAGAAACGAACAAAGAGAAGAAAATTACGTTCGATAAAGTTTTTAAGTAAAAAAACAACTGACACTCTCTATAAATTTCGATATTTCAATAGTTCTGTTAATGAATTAAATTCTACATTGCAACTGCTTGATACTACATTTGAATCCGCTATTTCTATTGATGATGATGAAGACGAATTTAGTAAGACCACTGAATCATCACTTGATACAACTGCAATAAATTTAGACAAAGTTAGTTAAAATCTAACTACAAAACACCAAAACATCAATTGCATGATTCGACTGTAGGAAATTACATTCGACTAATGGATGAACCTCAACAGAAAAGTAATTTCACAATACATTCGGTGTTCGCTTGCAAGAAAATACATGTCATAGTCAATTCTCATATTTCCTTCGAAAACGATAACGTGACTGTCAATGATAAAGCATACAGTAAGACGCCTGGTTTAATGGAATTTCTCTTTCGTAAATAACCTGATTCTAAAATAATCAGTTTATCGGATATTGAAAATTATATAAAACTTCTTGAAATCACTAACGCTCATCATAAGTGATATGAAAAAAATGGAGAATAAAATGGGTGCTGATTTATTTGGACGTAAATCGAATAAAAAGAAGGGTAATCGAGGTCCTCTTGGTGTACGGTATAAAATTACTAAAGACAAACAATACGATGTGAATGACAAAAGAATTTGCAATATAGCCGATCCTCAGCATAGTAACGATGCTATAAACTTACAAACATTGCAAAAAACTAGTGAAGCTAATTATTGCAACGGTCCTATGTATAATCTCTTTAGTTATTTTCACTAAATTACTGTAACCCGCTAAACCCATGAATCTACATATATTAATTAGTATGTTATATTAAAGGCGCCACCTCTCATACTATATGATTGTATTAGTGCTAGAGTATAATTTCATGACCATATAGGAGCGTGACGGCACTCTACTTATAGATATTTTATAGTGCGTTTATTAATTAAAATGCATTCATACAATTCATGATGACTCTTTTCAAAAAGTACATCGAAGAGCTTCATTCCAATGTTATTCAACATTTTAAGATCCATCTTGCTACAGGTAAAGAGATAGTGAATCTTAGGTCTTCCACTACTACTACTGCTATAACAGCTACTACTCGATTCTTGAGACAGAATGAAGCTCTTCGAGGTTCGCTGCACTTTTAAAACCTGTCCATACTAATTTGGTTTTGGAGCCACAACAACCGCCTCTCTCTATTTTGATCTCGATTTCTATTTTATTTAACGTATATATAGTAAGATGATTTTATAATACGAGGGACGTTTGAAAAGTCCGTGCAAAAATAAAAACTGCTTGATTTTTTTTAATAAATCTTTTTTATTTTTTAACATAGTCTCCTTTTAGGCTTATACACTTCATCCAGCGCTGCTCTAGTTTGTTAATCCCTTCCAAATAATAATAATAGAATTTGTCTAAGTCTGTAAAATAGGTATTCGTTTCTGCTATCACCTCCTGGTTTGAATGAAATCTTTTCCCCGCCAGCCATTTTTTCATATTAGGGAACTGTTACATATACCTGGCAGGGCTATGTTCACGTTAGTTGCTCGGCTTCGTCATTAGGAGGTATTGAATCAGGAGTAAGGTGAATGTTGTATTTTCTAAGTCTACCTTTATTTCATAGTGAACATAGGAGTACAATTAGTTGAGTGTATACAAGTATGCCGGCGAGGCTCGCTGTGATAGCCATGAGCGCCTGGCGATAACTGCCTGTTTCGGCGACTCGCCTTGGCTCGTACGATAACATAACGCACAAACTGTGATGTACACATACATCTGTGTACATTCCAGTTTCCTCCACCTATTAATTTAGCGGCTATGCGCGCGGAACGCCTGGGATTGCCCACGTCCGTACTGATCAGCTGGTTCTTATGTTGTTTACAGGTATTTCCCGGCGCGACATTCACACGTTACGTCGAGGGTGAGACTTGTTTTTCAATCACGCCTGGTATACGCTTTTTTCCGTCGACACTGTAGTTTGAAACGGTGACAGGTTGACCTGGTTCAAATTGGGTTTTTCGTGAGCCGTGGTACGACTTGACTTGATCACGCTGGCTTTTTTCTACGACCGATTTGGTGTGAGCCGGACGCAACAAATCAAATCTAGTGCGCAACTCTCGATTGTAAATAAGTTCTGCTGGACTTTTTCCGGTTGAGCAATGTTTACAAGCACGATAGTCAAAAAGGAAAATATTAACCGCGTCATTCACGCTCTCTCCCCCTTTCACGATCTTTTCGACCTTATCCTTAAATGTATGGACAAAATTTTTGGCTGCGCCGTTTGCGGCAGGGTGGTGCAGAGGTGAAAATGTGTGTGTAATTTTGTAATTTTTTTAAAAATCATGAAACTCGGAGCTTCTAAATTGCGGCCCATTATCAGATACAACACGTAAGGGAAATCTAAATCTCGCAAACAGGTTTTTACATTCTTCGATCACGCGATATGTCTTTGTATTATTTTTAAAATTGATTATTTCGGGCCATTTAGAATGAGCATCAATGACAACCAGAAATATATGACCCAAGAAGGGACCCAAGAAATCAAGGTGTATGCGCGACCAAGCTTTTTCTGGCCAAGGCCATGACGTTAAAATTGCTTTGGGTGGATTTTTTTGCATTTCATTGCAAATTTTACACGACTTGACTAAATTTTCGATGTTGTCGTCGATGTTTGGCCACCAGACGTACGACCTGGCGAGCATTTTAATTTTAACCATGCCCATGTGTGACATATGTAATTCACGTAAGAGTATTGCCCTAAGTTTCTCTGGAATAATAATTCTTATTCCCCAAAATAAACATCCACTTTCGAGAGAAAGTTCGTCTTTTTTGTTTTTGAATTTTTTTACTGACTCTGGAATCACATTAGGCCAACCATCTTTTACATATAACATTATTTTCTTAAGAGTTTCATCGCGTTGCGTTTCTGTTTGTATAGTTTTACAATCGATTGTCACGAACCCTTTATCAATGTAATATATAGGTGAAAGGTCAGAGTACAGCGTGTCTGTATCGTCTTCAATAGGTAATCGCGATAAAGCGTCACAGTTTCCATTATCCTTTGATTTAATATATTCAATTTTGTAATTAAATCCGGACAGAAAACACGCTGCTCTCTGTAGCCTTCCGGCCGCCGTCAAGGGAATGCCTTTTTTAGGGCTGAAAATATATTGTAGAGGCTTGTGATCGGTTCGTAATATAATTTCCTTGCCGTAGATGAAACCGTAAAAGCGTTTGAACCCGAACACAATTGCGCTTGCCTCTTTATCTATGATTGCGCGGTTCATCTCGTTCGATGGAATTCTTTTTGACGCGTAAGCTATAGGCCTCTCACAATCAGTGCCATCGTCGAAGATATGCGAGAGGATAGCTGACAACCCATATGCCGACGCATCGCAAGCTAGAACAATTTTCTTGTTTGGGTCGTAGTATGCTAATACACGGGGAGATATCTATTTTAATTTGACCCAGTTAAATGCTTCTTCGCATTTTTCATTCCATTGAAACTTGTCTTTGTTCGCGCAATCATATAATGCTTGTAATTTTATAGCCCTATCTTTGAGGAAACGCGAGTAGAAATTGATCAAGCCTAAAAATGAGTTTGCTTCCTTAAGCGAAGTTGGCCTTGGCGCTTCCACCATTGCTTTAACTTTTGATTTTGATTTGTGGAGGCCGTCACGGTTAATAACAAAACCCAATACGTCTATTTGTTCTTTTAGGAATTCACTCTTTACTTTATTTACACGCAAGTTACAATCAGATAGACGCTTGCATGTTTGCTCGAGTCGCTGTATATGCTCGGCAGTATTTCGGCCCGTGATGTAAATATTATCCAAGTACGTTATAACTCCGGGTATTCCTGCGAGACACTCGTCCATCTTTTGTTGACAAATTCCCAGCCCTGAAGCTACACCTTCTCCCATTTTCGTGTAACGCAACAAACCTACGTGAGTGGTTATTGTTAGATAATCACGGCAACTCTCTGCGACTCCGAATTACATATACGCATGCGATAAATCTAATTGCGAAAATAAATCACCGCCTTGTAGCGTTGCGAAAATGTCGTCAATTTGATGGAGAGGATATTTATTGATTATCATAAACGGATTAATTGTAAGTTTGAAGTCCCCGCAAATTCGAATTTTTCCGTTCCCTTTTACGATCGGTACAATTGGAGTACCTCATTCACTTGTTTCGACACGTTCCAAATGCTTTAATTCCAGCAACTGTTTAATTTCCTCCTCAACTGCACTTTTCAACGCATATGGCACGTGTCGGGCCTTGAGTGCAACCGGTTTCGCATTATCTTTCAGATATAGTTTTACTTCGCTTTTATTGTAAAGTCCCGGTGTTGTATTAAACAATAAATCATATTTATTTGTTATATATTCTTTGACATTGAGTTTGTCTATTTTGAAGACATTATGATTATTCATTTTGCGTACTAACTTATTTAGAGGCCAGCACTCGAGCAACATGAGCCACTGACGTCCTATAAGCATCGGACCCGATCCTGGCATGATATAACAACGCAGAGAGCGTGTTGTGTCGAAGAGCTCGACTTGTACTTCCAATTCTCCCTTTATTTCGAACGAGCGATTGTCGTAACCGCGCAATACATTGTTTGTACGCATTAGACTGACTGTCGGAAAATAAGCATTTTTATCTCTCTCGCCAATAATCGTATAATAAGTACCCGTGTCAATTTCCATTGACAGTATTTTACCGTTAACACTTACATCTAAAAACGCTGGGTCTGCTTGTTGCGTCATCATCGTTGTTGTCTCGATGCTTTCTTTGATCTTGTAGAAGTTGTTGTGGTAATAAATATCGTCGTACGCGTTCGCTGGTTCGTAGTTTGTTCTCTCGCTGCTGTGACTGCTACAGTGGCAGCATTTGTTTACATTGCTGACTTCTCCGTCTTCCATGAATTTAATGCTTGGTTTTGCCTTAGCCCGGCATGCTGCCTCGATGTGGCCTAATTTGTTACAAAATCGACATTTGGCATTTTTGAAACGGCATTCGGGTGCATTGTGATTGCTTCGATTGCACCGGTAGCACTTTCTCCCACTCTGATCAGTGTTGCCGTGTGTTCCTGGCGCTTGCATATCCTTTATCCTGCTTTTGTCTTTTTGCGAGTTGAACTTGTATACTTCCGTATTTCTCATTGCGCTCTCCAGAGTCTTGCTTGATGCTACTGCATTTTTAACTGCCTGTTCCCGTGCTTGAGCTTCTTTGAAAGCAAGGTCAAAGGTGAGTTTAACAGTTTTGAATAAGGCTATACGTGTTTGTTCATCGCGTATGCCGCATACAAACTGATCTCTGCAAGCAGTTGCCAAGTCTGGGTAATTGCAGTGAAGCGACAGTTTCTTTAATCTCGCCGCGAAGTCCGACACACTTTCGTCGCTTCCTTGACGTGCCCGGTTGAAAATACAACGTTCCATTACTTCTGACGGTGCTGGAGCAAGATGCTTTGTCATAAGTTCTGTCAGCTCTTTGTACTTTTTTGTTGACGGTTTGTCTGGCGCGCACAAGTGTTTAATTAACTTGAACGCGTCTTCATCGAAGCGGGTTAGCATTGTAGCTACTTTTTTGTCATCTTTTGTGTCCTTGGCCGTGAATAAAATTTCCAGCCTATCTTTGAAGGTCTCACAATCGTCTTTACCTAACACAAATTCCAACTTTATTGAGTCCGAGTGAGCCATGTTTTCGTTTTCTGATTCGTTGCTACTATCCTCGGACTGTGAGTCTTGTGTTTGTTTTTGTTCCTGCTCGTTTGATTTGGGCGGAACTATCTGTTCACGTATGGTCTTCGCAAGTAATTTTCTCAAGTCGTCTAACTTTGCTCCCTCGTCGAATTCTACGTTTCTTGATTTTAATTCTTCAATAGCTTTATTTTTATTTAAATTGTACACCCAGCCCACTTTAACCACAGTCGTTTTCACAATGTCTGCATTTTCGTTACTCATTTAACACACCAACACTTATAACCGGCAAGTATCACTGGTTCGTCCTCGTCGCCACTGTTACATATACCTGGCAGGGCTATGTTCACGTTAGTTGCTCGGCTTCGTCATTAGGAGGTATTGAATCAGGAGTAAGGTGAATGTTGTATTTTCTAAGTCTACCTTTATTTCATAGTAAACATAGGAGTACAATTAGTTGAGTGTATACAAGTATGCCGGCGAGGCTCGCTGTGATAGCCATGAGCGCCTGACGATAACTGCCTGTTTCGGCGACTCGCCTCGGCTCGCACGATAACATGCCGCGACTAACGTAGGCAGCACACTTATACATGCGCGTTATTCAGCGCTCGTGTACACATACATCTGTGAACATCACAAGAACAAATAGTAGTCTGGAGCATAGGGGGGATGTGAAACGAGTTAGAACCCTACCTCCATCAGTTTTGCGGCCATAACTGCTGAGGCGTGAGCTGGCGCATTGTCATGGTGGAAGAGGACTTTTTTGTGGGCGAATCGTGGACGTTTCTCTAGCAACTTGGTTTTCAAACGATCCAATAACGATGAATAATATTCGACTGTAATGGTCTTACCTTTTTCCAGATAGTCGATGAAGATTATTCCTCGCGAATCCCAAAAGACAGTCGCCATAACCTTCCCGGCCGAAGAAATTGTCTTCGCCTTTTTCGGAGCAGATTCCCCCTTGGTAACCCATTGTTTAGACTATTCTTTGGTCTCAGGAGTGTAGTGATGTATCCAGTTTCATCTACAGCGATGAAACGACTCTTGAAGTCTTGCGGATTTAGCTGAAACAGTTGCCAACCATTCTTGCAACACTTCACACGATCTCGTTTTTGGTCAATCGTGAGCAATCACAGCACCCATCTAGCGGATAGCTTTTTCATGTCCAAATGTTGGTGCAAAATATTATGTACCCGTTCGCTCGAGATGCCTACAGTACTAGCAATCTTACGCACCTTCACTCTTCTGTCAGCCATCACCATATCATGGATTTTATCAATGATTTCTGAAGTGGTAACATCAACAGGGCGCCCAGAACGTTCAGCGTCTTTTATGCTCATATAGACACTCTGAAAATTTTGAAACCACTTATAAACAGAATGGTTTTAGAAATCTAAGGTGCAATTCACCATAATGTTTATCAAGCTTCTGTTTAATCTCCTGAGGCGTTTTGCCTTTGAAAAAGTAATGTTTAATCAATACACGAAATTCTTTTTCGTCTATTTTTTTACAACCACTCGATTTCTTTGATTGAAACGAATGTAAAACGCAAAGTAATTGGCCGATCTGGCTGAAACTTGGTGTGTGCTCTTCCAGGATATGCCACTAACTGAAAATAACCTTGATACGCACTAGTAGCGACATCTCTCTGACTTTGCACGGACTTTTCAAACGACCCTCGTATAAGATCAAGCATTTGATTCATCATTAGTATGCGTTTCTTGAACAATATTCGTGATATAACTTTATTCAGTTCGATAACACGTCTTCGAAAGCGCACACAATCTCCTGTTACCTGCTCCCAAATGCCTTTTCTAAAGTCTTTTTCTCCATATGAAAGATGAATTTTAACTTTCTCCGAAAACCATACATGCTTAGAAGAGAAGCAAGATCTCCTGTTGCCTCTTATAGCTGACATGGCTAAGCTTCTACTACTTCTTCGTACTTCTGCTTTGAACAGAATGAGCTTACTATTAAATTCTTATCGATATTTTAGTATTTAATCCCACTACTACGCTTTTCGAAACGCTGACATCGCCTCCTTTTCTCTTTCTTATTTATTTATTTTCGTTTATTAAGGAATAGTGAGAGCCCCAATCATCGCAATAACCTGTGATATACTTCCATTATTAATATTGCTTATGAGACTTTTACACTAGTTCGAAACTCAGCGGAAAGGACGCATAAGTAATTACTTATACCTCTCCGAAAAAAAAGGATTTGGGAGAATAATTAAATTACAATTAAAGAATTGGTTAAAAGAAGGAAGAGGAGTATTAAGAAAAGACTACTGCTTCAAGTGAATGCTGAATAACTGCGTTGGATTGGAGCGTATTCTCCGTTTTATAAATAGTACCCCCTCTCTCAGAGCTCATCATTTCCCTCTCTTTTTACGCACTACTCTGTCTTGAGCGACAGCTATAAAGTTTTTCTCTCTTCCAACATTTTGCTTTTCCTAAGAGGTCCTTCTTCCTCACTATTACCTTTTTCCCTACTACTACCTTCGATTAAGCGACATCTATGAATTATTACTCAAGTAGAATTTTTATGCTGCCCCCTATGGTAATTTTCTTTATCTGCCA